AAGTAAACATTTAACCTGCCTTTCCTATATAAATAGTACCACTGGATAACAAAGTTGTAGAAGAAAAAGGGATGCTTCTCACCATAAAAGCATTTCTTTTTTTTTTCCAGAGAAAATCCAACCACCTGATGAACGAATGGATCTAGGCATCAATCCTCAACTGCTAATATCACTAAATGAGAGACAATAACACATAATGTGTCTCCTGATGGAAAACTATACCACCAATTTATGAAGAAGTCCAGACCAAAAACAAAACAAAACACCTGAATCTACTCAGCCTTTGATACCAATTCACAGGAAACAGAGGACCATAGTGATGCAGTCAGTAAAATAAAATCTATGGGAAACACTACTGGACAAATGACTCAGTGCCTTCAACAGATAAATTGCCAAAAAAAAAAAAAAAAAAAAAGAGAGAGCGAGCGAGAGAGAGAACAAGAGAGATGAAGGGAGAAGCTATAGTTTATAAGAGGCTAAACAGACTATCGTAAGGTGTTCACCTTATTTGGATCCTATTTCAAACAACCAACCATAAAAATAACTCTGGGAGAGCTGAAAAATTTAACGTTGATTGGATATTTGATAATATTAAGAAAATAGCAGTGGCACCACTAGGGTTGGTGTCACCCAGTGTGATACCTCATGGTGTCACTCCACTCCCCATGGAGCTCTTCTCGTACCAGACCATACAGAATCCTTAGTAATGTTTTTTGTACTGATGTTTTTTTATTTTTCTCCTTCTTTTCCTTTAATTACTACTTCACTCTCAAAAAAGTTATTGATATAGGTTCACAAATACTAATTACCACAATATTGTAGCTAAAACACCAGAAAATTTGACAAAATCAGCAACTATAAAAACACCACCAACAGTGAAAACAGCAGCACCTGCTTGTAGCGCATGCAGATGAAACCACCTGACTCAAAGCGTCATTGTAATTGAGTAATAATGACATTTCTGACTGGAGCACATTAGAAGGTTAAAAACTAAATTAGCATAGAGTTTTAGCCTTGTAGGTATATTGATGCGTGTAAGCTGGGCTTATGAAAAATGTTTTTGTTGTTATAACTAACTACAGGGATATTTTTATAAAAAAATTATAAATTTCTGATGAAACAATACACAAAAAGTTTATAATAGTCATTTTGGTGTCACCCCCTCTGACAGCATCACCCAGTGTGGGTCACACCTCCTGTATCACCCTAGTGATGCCACTGGGAAGATAGTGTTACTTTTTAGGTGTGACAATGATATTCAGGTTTTATCTTCTAGAGCGAAACCAAAACCATTTGCCATCGAGCAGAATCAGATTCCTGGTGACCCCACACGTTTCAGAGTAGAACTGTGCTCCATAGGGTTTTCAGTGGCTGTGATCTTCCAGAAGTAGATTACCAGGGCTTTATTTTGAGGCACCTCTGGGTGGATTTGAACTGCCAACCTTTCAGTTAGTAGCCAAGCACTTAACCATTTGCGCCACCCAGGGGCTCATCTTCTAGAGATACCTACTAAAATATGGATAAAATGATACTGAGTTTTGCTTCAAAATAATACTAGAAAGGAGAAGCGTGAGTAGAGATGAAACAAAATGGCCATGATTTGGTTATTGCTGAAACTGTGTAATGCATACATGAAAATTCATTATACTTTTCTATCCAGCTTTATGTATGTTTGATGTTTTCCATAACCACTTCCCCCCAACTCAGCATATATACTCCCCTTTCTTATCTATCTTTCCTTCCTTGATCCTCCTTACCTCCTACTCCCATCTGTCATGATTTTTCCCATCTCCCTTTCCCCATAACTTCTGGGCTCCTCAAACTTCAAAACATTCATTTATCAGAATAACCTCAAGGTTTTCCTCTTTAACATAACAGTGGCCCTGCACTTCTCCTGAAGAGAGTCAGTAAGTGAACAACCTACAACAACAACAAATTAGGAGTCTTAATTGACGCTAATGCAGCTTGTCAATGCGGCTTCTTTCCTGATGTGTGTGTGCGTGTAGATCATTCACTGCTCAAGGGAGAAGGAAATCAGAAATTTCTAGCTCAAGCGCTGGAAGCCACTGCCAACTCCACATCAGTCAGAAAGGAAACACATTCTGGAAGTTTTAACAAACGTATACATGAAAATGAGCATTTGTTTTCAGGCCGAGTATCCAGTCTGTTATGCAATCTTCCAAATGAGAACGACTCTTTACGTTCACTCTACGAACACGTGGTCATTTTGTGATTTTGGAAGAAGAAATTAATAAAATACTTAAAATTAACAGTATTCTGGGAGTGTAATTTACCAAACACAGCTGCACCCTCTCAATGTGGGGCAGATTGGTGGCAGATTTAAATCCAGTGTCTTCATAACAAACTCAAACTCAGTGGCCTGGTATCACCAAGAAAAGTAGTAATATTCAGCTCACAGACAATTTGCTTCTTAGAAAGGCTTATGGGTCCCCAGGCTGAGAAGACTGAAAAACCCTGAGAAAAGAAGTGGCCCCACAAGTACAGGATGGAGTGACTGGTGGCTGCACAGCGAGGGTGCTAGAATCATGCTCGCACCCTACATCCTGCTACGGTAAGAAAAGATTTACATTGTAGCCCACGTGTCCATCAACAGACGAACGGATAAATGAAATACAGTGTATCCACACAATGGAATATTATTAGTCATAAAGAGGAATGAAGTGCTGATACATGTTACTACATGGATGAACCCTTGAAAACACGCTGAGTGAAATAATTCAAACACAGAAGGCCAAAGTTTATATAATCTCACTTACATGAAATATCTAGCATAGACAGATGTATAGTGACAAAAGTTTATTAGTGGTTAACAGGGGCTGGGGGAGGAAGGGATGGAAGTTACTGGTGAAGGGGTACTGAGTTTCTGTTTGAGGTGATGTAACACTTTGTTTCCATGAGTCAGGGCCCAGTCGTGGCAGCTAACAACGACAATAGCAACAAAACCTTTGGGAATGGTTAATTGTGATGGCAGCACAACATGGTGAATATAATCAATGTCACCGAATTGTACACTTAAAAATGGTTAAAATGGAAAACTTTTTGTTATATATGTTGCTGTTAGTTGCTGTCAAGTCCATTCCAACTCATGGTAACCCCATGTGTGCAGAGTGGAACTGCTCTATAGAGTTTCAAGGCTGTGATCTTTCAGAAGCAGATTGCCAGGCCAATCTTCCAAGGTGCCTCTGGGTAGGATCAAACCACCAACCTTTTTGCTAGTAGTCCAGTGCTTAATTGTTTGTGCCACGCGGGGACTCCTTTTGTTATATATATTTCACTACAATTAAAAGAAAAAGATTTGCATTGTAATTTTCTGTTTGACTATCTGGAAAGAAAATGAAAAAGTAAGATATTTTTACTAAAGTGGAATAATTGTTGTTGTTAGGTGCCATCATCAAGTTGATTTTGACTCATAGCGACCCCATGTGACGGAGTATAACTGCCCCATAAGGTTTTTAGGCTGTAATTTTTACAGAAGCAGATCATCAGGTCTTTCTCCCACAGAGCCGCTGGTGGGTTTGAACCACCAACCTTTTGGGTAGCAGTCAAGTACTTAACCATTGCGCCACAAGGGCTCACTAAGTGGAATGCTAGGCTAGTATAAGGGTTCTGGGCTCAAATCTGTAATCTGCCACTTCCTAGGCTACAAAACCATAAGCATGTTACCTAATCTCTCCAAACCTCAGTTTCCTTATCTGTAAAAGGGGGATAATTGATAAGAGTACCCCTGCCCTCAGGATTTATTAAGGCATTTATTAGCATTAAGGCCGGTGAAAGGCTTAGCACAGTAGCTGAAACAGAGTAAGCACTCAGGAAATGTTGGCCACCTGGGCTGCCTGTTTTGATACAGTGTATGGATGAATTAAACATTGCAACAATTCTCCGACAAAAAAGGGGAGGCATCATTATTATTACACTAATATTGCAACTCTATAGAGATCTTTCACACTGATCTCCTCAGTCACAACTACCCTGCAAGTTCAAGAAGGTAGGTGCTATTTCTCTGCCGTTTTTCTGAGGATACATTTCCAAGAAGTGGAAACTTTCAAGCAAGGTCACCCAGCCAGCTGGTGGCAGAACCAGGGTAGAAACAGGATATCTTGGCTCCCAGCTCTATGCCCCTTCTTCTAGACCACACCTGCTCCTGTACCTTTTTGAAAGGTGCCAACCACATTTTTTTCCAGCCTGGTTGCCTTTTCCTTCCTCAAGAAGAACAAGACTCTGACAAGCTAGAAAAAGTAGACAACTGTCACCTTTAGTTTTCATCAAGAGGTTAGGAAATATTTTTCCTGTAAGGCTTCCTAGCTAGACAGAAAAACAAACAAAACAAAACCCACACATATATATGTGTGTATGTATACCAAAAAACAAACAAAAAAACATCGCCATCCAGTTGATTCCAACTCATAGCGACCCTATAGGACAGAGTAGAACTGTCCCATAGTGTTTCCAAGGCAATAATCTTTACAAGAGCAGATCGCCAGGTCTTTCTCCTGTGGAGCTGCTGGTGGCTTCAAATTGTTAACCTTTCGGTAAGCAATCAAGCGCTCAGCCCAACAAGGGCTCTTTATGTTTGCATAGACACACAAATCAAATATTATATAAATATAAAAATAAACAAAAGGGAGGCATAGACTATCCCCATTTTAAAAAATCTTTTTTTTTTTTTTTTGAACAGTATTTGACTGAGCACGGGAAAATGCAAAGAAGAAATTTGGAGTGGAGTCTGCTTCTCCATCACGGACACTGTGTAGGATCCACGTTTGCAGAGACAGTACACAGTGCCACAGGTCACGGTGTTCCCTGTGGAGCTAGACACTTGCACACTTCAGAGCCAGCTTCTTCCCAGTGTGGGAGCCCAGCAGGGACAAAATCATTGTGTGTATCTCACAAGACTTCCACAGAGTGCACCAAAATGGGCCATGCAGCTTATTCTGAGCAGTTTAGGAGTGAAAACTTTATTACAGGAACAATCCACTTACCCAGTGGTCAGACTGTGGGGATCCATACCTCACAGCAGACACCTGAAGTCACCTTTAGGGTACTACCCATACCAATCTGTAAATTAAATCCACAGGTTAGAAGCAGACCAGATACTGACAGCAGCAAGCCTCACAGTGGAAAGTGGAGAGGAGAGATGGAGCTACACAAGATGGAGAGAAAAACCTACAGGCATAGGAATTAGGGCCACTGAGTATGGGAGCAAGTAACTCTACACGGTCCAAGAGCCTGTAAAAGCATCATTCATGTCACGGTAAACATTAGAACCCTTAACAAATACTTCATTCTGTGCCAGAATGATCCTGGAGCTGAAAGGAACCCAAAGAAATGATCACTTCCTTAAGATGCCTTTCTGACACCCCACAGTGCATTTGAAATCACTTTCTTTCTCCTTCGGTCTTCATTGAACCCAATGCACTCTGTCTTTCATGGCACCTATAACATTTATTATACTGTTTACCCATGTTTTCTCTCCTTCACTAAAAAAATAAAAAGTTTGAAAAGCTCCTTGAGGGCAGGAACTGTGCTAATTCATACCCAGCTCCTAGCACAGTGCCTGGCATACACGTGTAATTCAATAAAGATTTGTTCAATAAGTGGATGAATGAATGACTTCATACCAATAACTACAAGAGATCAAGGAAAGTATCACTATGTGTCCAAGTTATTTTATTTTTTAAAATGGAGAAGGGGGAAAAGAAATATAAATAGCAAGAAAGCTATTTATATTTTAGAATGAACACCATCAAAATAGTTCAGATATTTAACATTGGAACACTTAAAGTGATAAGCTTCAATATGTGTAAAGTTGTGTATGAAATAAAATTTCTTTCCTCTAGTACTGCATGTCCTCATTTTACCTGTCCTTCACAATCTCTCCCCTCTATGAAGTAATATGTTCCTTTCTTGAAACTCTGAAGGGCTCATTAGCAGTACCTCTCTTTTGACACTTCCTGCCTCCGAGGGGACCTGAGTAATGCTTCTTTCACCTCCCACGCCAGGGCGAACATTGCTAAGTGATAGTGTTTTTATTATCCACTGAGTCCACAGGCTGCCTCAGAATCCTTCTCAATTCAGAGCTTCAGGTAGCCACCGGCAATCAATCTGAGTTTGCTCATGAAATAAAGCACTAACTATATTAGAACAATGCATGCACGTCTAAGCTCCTTGAGGTCAGGAACAATTTCTTACCCATCACCTAAAGCCTCAGAGACGTTAGCAGAGTGCCATGGACAGACTAGGCACTCAGCAAATATCTAACGAATGAATGCTTGAACACGCCTTCATCTCTAATAGTATAGGAGAAATGAGATGACCTCAAGTTGGCCATGTCTTCATGTCTAGCTTTCCCATTCCTTCTCCTTCACTATTAATAATGAAGATAATTAGACCAAAATGGAATATGTAGTCATATCCATAAACTGCCTGTATAGTCACTTACTAAATATTTTTCTCTAAGCAAACACTCTCTTTTTTTAACATAATAAATATACTTAAAAGGAAGCTTTATAGAACAATCAAAAATAGAAAAGCAGTATCGCTTGTCATAAACAAAAGGGAACCATAAAAAATGAAAGCAATGAAAACAAACACAGACTTGGTACCATCTGAAAATCATCTCACATCCACTACTGATACACACTTGACAGGTGGTTTAGCATGTTGGTGAACCAGAAGGCTTCAGTTAGAATCCTGACTCTGCCACTACCTGGCTATGTGACACTGGGCAGGTAACATAAACTTTCTGAGCCTTAGTTTCCTCATCTTTGATACAGGGAATAATAATAGTTCCTACCTCACAGGCTTGGAAATTTAAATGAACTAATCCATGTACACTGCCTGGCAGGTAGTGAGTGCTCAATAAATGTTAGTTCCTCAATGAAACCAAATCCAGAAATATACAAAAAAGATCAGATACTAGAACCAAGTGAGATTTATCCCAGGAATACAAGGTTGGCTTAACATCTGAAAATCAATTTACATAATAAGCTGAATGAACAGAATAAAAGCAGCAAAATGTGCAGAAAAAGCATTTGACAAAATCCAACACAACTTCATGATAAAAACACTCAATAAAATAAGAATAGAACGGAACTTCCCTAACCTGAGAAAAGTCATATACAGAAAACCCAAGCTAACATCATACTTAATGGTGAAAGACTGAATGCACCTTCCTAAGGTTAGGAATAAGGCAAAAATATTTTCTATTGCCATTTTTATTCAACACTATACTGGAGGTTCTAGCCAGAGCAATTAGGCAAGGAAATGAAATAAAAGGCAGCCAAATTGAAAAGGAATCAATAAAACTATCTCTATTTGCAGATAATGTGTCTTGTATGTAGCAAATGTTAAAGAATCTATTAAAAAACTATTAAAATGAATTAAAAGTTCAGAAAGGTTGCAGGATACAAGATCAATATACAAAATTCAATTGTATTTCTATACAATTGCAATGCACAATCCAAAAATGAAATGAAGATATCAATTCCATTTACAATAGTATCAAAAAGAATAAAAAACCTAAATGCTCATCAAGAGATGAATGGATAAATAAAATGTGGTACATACATACATGAAATACTACTCAGCCAGTAAAGAGAAATGAAGTCTTGATACATGCTACAATATGGATGAAGCTTGAAGACATTACGCTGAGGGAAATAAGTCAATCACAAAAGGACAGATATTCTATGACCTCCTTATATAAAGACAAGAAAAGGCAAATGTATAGAGAACAAAGTTTATTAGTGGTTACCAGGGGAGAAAGGGAGGGGGGAAGGGGAGGCTAACGGTGATGGAAAAATCACATTGACTAAGGGTAGGATTGCACAGCAGATTATTGTAATTGCTGTCAATAAGTTGTAAACCTGTTATCTTAGTTATTCAGTGCTGTAGTAATAGAAATACCACAAGTGGATGGCTTTAACAAACAGATATTTATTTTCTCACAGTTTAGGAGGCTAGAAGTCTGAATTCAGAGCACCGGCTGGAGGGAAAGACTTTTTCTCTCTGTCGGCTCTGGAAAAGGTCTATGTCTCTTCAGCTTCTGCTTCCTGGTTCCTTGGAGATCTCCATGTGTCTTGGCATCTATCTTACCCCATCCCTGCTAGCTCATTCCTAGTTCGTTGCACAGTGCCTGGGGTCTTAAAAGCTTGCAAACGGCCATTCAAGCACATAATTGGTCTCTATTTGCCTAGAGCAACAGAGGAAGAAGGAGAGTCAGGAATAGGAGGAAGATATGGAATGTGTGGCTAATTGCCTCCATGAACAACTGCCTCCTTTGCCATAAGGCCAGAAGAACTAGACGGTGCCTGGTTACCATTACTGAACATTTTGATCAAGGATTTTGTAGAGGAATCCTGATCAAAAGGGGGAAACGCAGAATAGAATTTCAAATTCTCATGGACTCCAGGCTTCCTGAAGCCATGGAGGCTGGATTACCCGTTGAAACTACTGCCCTGAGATAATCTTTAAACCTTAAACCAAAAATATTCCCTGAAGTCTTCTTAAAACCAAACAACAGTTTAGCTTAAATAGTAAAAAAATGTCTACCTTGAGCATTATGTTCTTTTAAGAACCATCTATATGGAATCAAATTGACAACAGCAACTCTAAAGATTAGAAAGGAACCTTAGGGAGCAGTGAGTTTATGTTAACAAGGGAGGAACAACTCAGAGAAGCGGGTGGAAATGCTTGCACAACTCAAAGAATGTAATCAATGTCATGGAATTGTACATGTAGAAACTGTTGAACTGGTGTATGTTTTGCTGTGCATATTCTCAACAACAACAATAAAATAAAAAAAAGAAGAAAACACCTAGGAAAAATTTAACAAAAGCAGTGCAAAAATTTTATTCTGAAAACTAGAAAAAATTGTTGAAAGAAATTAAAGAACTAAACAAATGAAAAGATATCCCATGTTCATGGATTGGAAGACTTAATATTGTTAAGATGGCAATGCTCCACAAACTGATCTACAGATTCAGCAAATCCCTATCAAAATCCCAGCTAGCTTCTTTGCAGAAATTGACAAGCTTATCCTAAAATTCATAGGGAAATTTGAGGGACCCAGAAAAGCAAAAACAATCTGGAGAAAGAAGAACAAAGTTGGAAAACTTTTGATTTAAAAAAATTTACTACAAAGCTAAAGTCATCAAGACAGTGTGGTACTGGCATAAGGATAGACATAGATCAATGGAACAGAATTGAGAGTTCAAAAATAAACCTTCACAGTTATGATCAATTGATGTTTGACAAGGGTACCAAGACAATTCAATGGAGAAAGAGTACTCTTCCATCAAATGTTCCTGGGACAGCTGGATATCCATTTGCAAAAGATATCCTCATACAATATGCAAACATTAACTAAAAATGGATCAATGTCCTAAATGAAAGACGTAAAACTATAAAACTCTTAGAAGAAAACACAGAAGTAAATCTTTGTGAACTTGGATTAGACAATGGATTCTTAGATAGGACACCAAAAGCACAAGCAACAAAAGAAAAAAGAGATAAATTGGACATTATCAAAATTAAAAACTTTTGGCTTCAAAAGACACCATGACGAAACTGAAAAGACAATGCACAGAATGGGAGAAAATATTTGCAATACATATCTGATAAGATACTTGTATCTAAATATATAAAGGATTCTTAAAACTTAATAATAAGAAGACAAATAACCCAATTAAAAAAATGGGCAAAGATAAAAATGTGAACAAATATTTCTCCAAAGAAGTTATACAAATGGTCAACAAGCACATGAAAAGATACTTAACATCAACAGTCACTACAGAAATACAAAAAACCACAATGAAATACCACTTCACATCCACTAGGAAGGCTATAATCAAAAATACTGATAATAAAGAGTAATCGAGAAGATGCGGAAAAATCGCAAACTTCATCCACTGCTTATGAGATTGTAAAATGGCACAGCCACTTTCGAAAACATTTTTGCGGTTCCTCAAGTTTTTAAACAGAGTTATCACAAGACCCAGCAATTCCACTTCTAGGTATATTCCCAAAAGAAATGAAAATGTGTCTACACAAAACCTTGTATGCAAATATTCATAGCATTATTCATATAATAGCCAAAAGGTGGAAACAACTCCAATGTGCATCAACTGATGAATAAATAAAATGTGGTATATCCATATAATGGAATATTATTCAGCCATAAAAAGTAACAAAGTACTGATTCGAGCTACAAATAAACCTTGAAAATATTATGCTAAGTGAAATAAGCCAGTCAAAAAGATCACATATCTTACACTCCATTAATAAGAGATGTCTGAAATAGGTAAATCTATAGACACAAAAATATAGATTAGTGGTTGCCTAGGGCTTGAGGGAACCTGTTGCTGTTGAGTTGATTCCAACTCATATTATTCCTAAAGATTAGGAAGTTTCTTTTTGCAGTGATGAAATGTTCTAAAATTAATTGTGGTGATGGTTGAAATGTATTAAAAACCACTGAAATGTACTATTTATTTTTATTTTATTGTACTTTAAGTGAAAGTTTACAATTCAAGTTAGTCTCTCATACAAAAACTTGTACATACGTTGTTATGTGACCCTAATTGCTCTCCCTATACTGTGACAGCACACTCCTTTCCACCCGATTTCCCAGGTCCACTGAATTGTACACTTTAAATAGATGAATTATATGGTATGTGTATTACATCTCAACAAAGCTGCTACGAAAAAATGTTAGTATTTTTATGACTACTTTTGGCAAACTATAGGTATAAGCTGAAACGGGTACTCAAGGAGCTAGGGAAGCACAGGCTGTGGTGAGTGTAAATCAACAGGACTGTGGGAAGAGAAAAAGGGACGCCAGACGCTCCCATACTATGCATGGAACAGCCTCCTGTCCTACAGGGATGAACTGGCACCATGAGGCAGGACGCAAACTAGCACCTTGCATCCTGCCTGTTATTGTTGCATTGCCTCAGGGCAGGCCTAGGGCTGCCCCATCCTGGAGGAAATGTTCCTCAGAAGATAAAACCCTCTGAGCTGGGTGATGGGCTTTAGACAGAGAACAGGATGGGCCTCTAGCTCCCCTCCTCCTACATGAGCTCTCTTTCACTGCCAAGGAAACTGAAGCCCGGACAGAAGGGACTTGTACAAGGTCATGGGCCAGTAGGGGCAGAGCCCAGGCTAACACTGCAACTTCCTGGGAGTACAAGGGGACTCGATACAGTAACTAATATGACAGAGTTTTTATAACTAAGAGAGAAAAATATTGAAAAGAAAATTCTAATTCTGGGATAAAACAAAAACCTCTATAGGAAAAGAGATGTAATCAAAGGACATAGCTTTCTCATCAACACCATTTACACATCTTAATAGTGCAGATACTTTAAACATGATTTAGGTTAAGATAGAGCTCATACTATATTGGGAGATGGTGGTAGTGGAGGGAAGGAGAATGATATAAGAAAGCTAAATTTTCATCCATCATGGCAGGAAGTAAATAGTCAACGTGTAAAGTAGATAAATCAAGAAATAGCAGTGTCAGTATATCATTTAGATCTGGAGGCAATTACCGGAAGAAACAGCAAACTAAAAGGGGCAGCCTCGGGGCAGGTGGGCACTGGATGGTTGCTTTTCATTAGAAGCCTTTCAATACTATTTGATTTTTTTTTTAAGCATGTGCATGCATTGCTTTGATCAAAATTAGAAATGTACTTTAAAAGGCAACAACCCCAGGCCTCCTTGCCAGCAGTACAAGCAAGGCTGCTGCAGAGTTTGCTCAGTCAGTCCCTCACTGCTGTCCTTCCCTGCAGCCTTTCTACACATGGGCCTGAGGGCAGAGTCATCCAAGTCAGCCTGCTCCTGGGCCTCTGGAGAAGCTCCATCCTCTCCTCGATGTCTACAGCAGAGAAGACATTTTGGTAGGGCTAAAGGGCCTGCCACTTCGTTTGCTGTTTTACTCAGCTGCTTCCTGTGTTGTCAGGGTTGCGAGGGATGGGGCCTTTCCGCTGATAACTAAGCCAGGCAGATACCAGCAGCTCTGCAGCACGGCCCTCATCTCTCAGGAGGGGAGATCATGCCACCAAGGGCAGCTTGCCAATTCCCTCCCACTGGGGATGAACCACCCCATGAGGGACACCAACGTTACTTGTGTCGGGGGAGAGCAGCTGCCTCTCAGGGGCACCTGTTACAACTCAGGGAGGGAAGTCACTGCATCTGCTGTGGAAACAAAGAGCAAGACTTCAGGTGTGGCCACTGAATCAGGGCACATGGACCTCAGCTTCCTCACTGTGAAACCGTAACTCAACTCAAACATGGCTCAGTCTGAACACGGGTTTCAGTCCTGAAATGGGGTTTTCACTAACTCTCACGGGACAATTTCTCTGTGTGTACACTGTGGAGGCTGGCCTAGTAGTGGTTCTCACTATGATGCCCAAACCTCCCTTGCGAAGTTGGCTGTAGGTGACTTTTACCAATAACGGTTTACACACTGAGGTTTACA